GATTGGCCATTCGACGCCATTTTTAATATTTTCTAGTACTTTTGCGATACTGCCATAAGCCGGTCGCGCTTCTATGATAATCTAGGACTCTAGGCGAGGGGAGTCGAGCCGAAATGCGGGGGGAAATTGGGGGAGATTGGGGAAGATTGGTGCCCAGTTCACTCTTATTGGGTCCCAGTTCTAGGGATACTCCAGGGGGTACAAACTCATTAGATTTTTTGGCGACGGAAATGGGATTAGTTCCGTACAAGGGGTCCAGCAGTAGAGGCAGCACTATCGCCTCTTTCCCTTTTCCTCTCTAACCTCCTTGTCTCCGGCAAAAGTGTATGAAAGCGTACAAAATTGTGGCAAAGTGAAAACCAATAGTCATATAATATGAATAGATTAAGCATTTCAATCTTTTACTGAGGAAGGAATGAAGCCGAGAAATAGCGTGTTTGCAGGAAATTATCTTATTTTACTTTATAGCTAAAATGGTTGGACATCGGTAAGATGAAATGAGAGTAATTCCTGCAATTCCGCGTCATTTCACGCTGTAGACAGAATGCTCGGTCTATATATACATATATATATATGCTATGATGAAAACCTACATTGAAAACGCCTAAAAGTAACTTATTATTATTTCGTGTTCTACCTAGGATGTTCGCGCGCGTATATAATTTCAATATGGCATCCAGCCTCCACTCTCGTCACGTGATCTATTTTAGTTCGCTATTTCCGGGGGGACAGACTTAAGTGGCGCTGTAAAATGTCCCCTCTTTTTCCAAGAGAGAGTTTGTCCCCCCTGGGACAGACTTAAGTGGCGCTGTAAAATGTCCCCTCTTTTTCCAAGAGAGAGTTTGTCCCCCCTGGGATACTCGGTCTATTATATATGTGTGTATCACACGGACACGAGCTTATATCATTGCGCTTGCGCAGACTAACAACCAATCAAATGTGGGCACCAGTTACCTCGTCGTACTGTCCCGCAGTGGCTCTCCCCCCGCAACTCTATGCTCTGTCCCCTTATATTCCTATATCCATGGTCTAAACTCTTGATCACTCATCCATACTCATCGCTCTTGATCGCCATTTGAGTTAACCTTAGGAGGGATTGTGGAATCACTCATCGTGTGTATGTATGCTTTGCATAATATTGTTGTCATCGTGTTTAATGATTAAAAAATGCTGGAAAGTTATAATTGTGCCGAGACAAATAGTCAATAGTGATGTTACTTAATATTCGTTTTGTAATCATCCGTGCTGTACGATACAAATGCTTGTATGAGTGATAAAATATCTGAAAGATCTTTTCGTCTTTTTCTCCGTGGGTGTTGCGTGTGTATTGTGGAGTTAATGCTATATATTATGTGTATATATAAATTATAGACTGTTATATACTTTTATTCTTTGATAGCCATAGTGCGCAGACAGGAGAGAGGTGCATGAGATTGAAAAACCAAAGAAATGGAGGTTGGTTTCTATTATTACAAAATTAGCATAATGTACACTTATTGTAATATATTATGTAGTACTATTCAAATTCAGGCAAATTTTTTTTGCATATTTCTAATAAGATAGGTTGCATTTAAATTTTGGTGTAATATAATTTATAATTATTTACCTTATACTAGCTTGTTAATACCAGATAATGATATAATACACAGAGCAAAATTATATATAGATATTTATATAAAGGAATTATATATATTATTTACTTTGCAAAAGAGATTATTTTGGTGCTATATGTTTATTGTAAATCATTATAAATTAATCAATATAATTAATATGAATATAATAGAACATATGTGACAGCAGATTGATTGTAGAAATTAAATAAAATCTATTTCATAATTATTTAAATAATACATTCCATTTAAATGTTTACAAAATAATAGCTTCTACTTTTTTCTACTAATAATTTCTTATCAGATTACGTTGGCAAACAAATAATCAATGACTGTGTTTCGTTTCACACATGATGTGCATGATGTATTATTCTATTCTTGTTATTTATCTTTCACTAAATGTTAAACAAGGATAAAATGATACATTATGCATATTATGCGTGAAACAGAATGCAGCCAATATACATATAGAAAGTTCTATAAATAAATTAAATTAAAAAAGAAGTCAAAAAATACCAAGGTTAGTGTTAGTACATAATTTAGACATTTATTAATATAAATTGATATAAGTATCGCATAAGTTTCAACCGTAATTTTAATCCTCTTTAGTCTAAAAAAAAATCACAACATAATAAAAGATTTAAAACATGAGTTATAAATTGCTGATACATAATTATAAGTATTCACACAAAGATATGACGCTAATATACATATTTAAAAAAATGTTTCAAAATATTAATTAATTTATATTATAAATTGTTAAAATCATAAGAGTATAATATTTAATTTCAAAATTCAGTAAAAATTAAGATTACTGTTCTAATAGTATTAATGAAAAGAAATAATTATGTAAAATCATGGTCTGTGGCAAAAAATTGCTATGTAAAACATAGTTACAATAAACTATAAGAAAGAAAATACAAAACAATTTTTAAATTAATTTATTTATTGACAAGCTCTACTGATAAAATACTGTTAATATAAGCATAGTTGATATTAATTTACCATAATACTCTGCTCAAACATGTTGATAAACTGCTAATAATTTTCTTGCTGGATATAGATAGATGAATGTTCAGCCGGTGGAGATAGCGGAGCAGAGGAAGATGAAGAAGAAGCCTCAACGCATGATTCTAGAACTGATAGTAGCAGTAGTAGTATGAGTGGTAGTAGTACAACAACGGACAGCGAGCAAGATAGCGCAGAGGATCATGCCACAAGCAGTAGTGAAAGCCATAGTTCGGCAGAGGAAGATGAAGATGAAAATGAAAATGCAGAATTTATGGTAAACGTCGAGAACCCTGATGCTTTGGTAAGATTCGTCTTATGCTTAAAAGGAAAGTTGCAGTTAGCAAAAATGTGAGATAAAGCTATTTGTTTTTATACTTCTTTCTTTCATCACTAGATCAACATATTTGAATAATCTTTTTTTTTTCTTATATGATTTGTTTTGATAATTTTTTTTAAATAAGTTATTTCTTGAATTTTAATTGTGATTTGAAAACAATGTTTTTGTAACTGATTGCTAGTACATTTAAAAATTGTAAATTTGATAACATTATAATTTTTTTTTAATTTAATAATGAAATTATGGTTTATTTATTTTTTATGAGATTAAAAAGATTATAAAAATTGATAAATGTTTTTCCAAGAAGAAGATATAAAAAGTCAAAGTACAAAAAAGTAATTTTGCAAAGAAGCTCTTCAAAGATTTTTTGGTATCGTAATCTCATATTCCATGCAATAGTTTTCTGTTTTTCTTTGTTCATTTCAAATCAAACACACATTGAATTGTTAACTACATTTTAAAAAAAATTTTTTACTGCTATATGTCACATTTATATTTTATAGGTAAATCGAAAAATAATTTTTTAGTTTAAAGTGATACAATAAAAAAAAAATGAAATTGTAGAGTTATTCTGAGTTATTCTTTTGTCCTCATTCAAGATCCTATATATATATATATATAAGTAAAGTTGAATGAGAGCGGAGGATCAGAATAAGTTAAAAATTTAATTTTTTTAACTTGCAATACTACTTTAAACTAAAAAAATTATTTTTTGTTTTGTTTTTAAAGAATAAACTCAATTTTTGTCTATACAGAAAATGTCCGGAAAATCGCTTGCAGTACTTCGGGAAATGATTCGAGAAGATTCTAAACAGAAGGAAAAAAAGCTATATAAAGATAAATTCGGAAATGAGTTGTTTTCTAGTTATAGTAATTTTATGAAGAATTGTTGAATTCATTTTTCATAGTCATAATCATAATAATCATAATTTAATTTATATTTTTTTAACATAAATAATTTTATTTCGAACTATGTTGGCGTTAATCAGAATGCATCACATAGAAATATAGTCCGCTTAATTACGATATTTTTTTTACCATAAAAGTGGTTATAATTTGGAAACGACTTATTTCCAGATCTATGTTTAGCTTTTTTTTCCTTTTTTTGGATCCCGAATCACTTTTTGAAGTATTACGGGCGATTTTCTGGATACTTTGTATAAATGCACTACTTTTCTTATCCAGAAATTGTTCACTCTTTAATATGCAAAATAAATATCTTTTTTTCAAGATTACTGGAAAACTTTTTTTATTAATGTGATATGTTTCAAGAGTATTATCCTAAAATTTTAGCAAAAAAAAATTAAAAATGAAACAATTATGATTTTTTTTTGCAAAATAATTTTTAAAACTAATTTTTTTAAAGAATGTTTTTTAATATGATACCATTTGAATTCTAAATTCTACAATCAGAATATATTCTACAATATTCAAAATCTATTTAAAAATTTTTGTAATCCAATTAAATTGTTAATTTTTAAATAGTAGCTGTTTAAAAATTGGTCTAGATAAATTCACTTTATTTGATAAACTTAATTGAAAAAAAGGTGTGACATGTTAATACATTATTTATTTTTGGTACGAGCTAAATAAAATTGGAAAGAATATTGGAAATAAAAAAAACAATAGAATTTAATAATATAACTTTTATAATTATAAAAGACTTACTTTGATACTTGTACAGTTGATTTATTGTCTACTCTGATTTGTACAAGAATTATATGTTCAATCTTTTTTTTAGACACACAGGTTTGAAATATTCAAAAATAATTTTACATATTTCAAAATGAACCTTAAAGAAATCTTTTTGTTTAAGTATAACAAATTTTTAAGTGTCTTTTCTTGCTAGTTTATTAAAGTTAGATATTATTATACAACATGCAGGGTGTTTCCTAAATTGAAAAATTTAGAGGAATATTTCTTGACTTACTTTATAAAGATTCTATAAGCATACTTTTAATTTTGCTATAACTATACTTTAAAGTGTTTTATTTTCAAAATATAGGATGTCAAAGTTGAGAAAAAAATATAATAAAAATTTCGAAAATCTAGGAATTGCTTAGAGATACTTTATTCAAATTTAGTGTGTATACATGTTTATCAAATTGCCAACGCAACTAAATATTTTGTTTGACTATACTGGCTATAGTCATTGCAGAAATAGCAGAAACGCTGTCTAACGAAATTTCAAAAATTTAATATGATTATTCACACACACGCCTCTGATGGATCTAAAAATGTTTTATTACTGGAAAATGTTTCTTGATACCACATATATATAAAAACATCAAATTTGAATAAAATATTTTTTATAAAGCTTTTTCTAGATTTTTGAAATTTTCATTTTTTTTCTCAACTTTAACACCCTGTATTTTAAATAGTTTAGAGCATTTGTTTGTAGAACTTGTATATATATCCGATTCTCTCACGTATGACTGTGGTGCACACGTAGATTATACACCGTCATGTGGGATGACTACATTTTTACGCCGATTCCGAACGGTAAATTTTTCGTAGAGTTTTGAATTAGAATGCTCTCGTTGGCTCGTCAGAGAGGAGAGCGTATGTAAATTTTGGCTCTGCCTGAGATCGAACTCGACATCTTTAACATATAGTAAATCAGTGCTCTATCTGCCACGCTACGCTCTCTCACGTTTATAGATTTATTCATAAAATAAGCCAAGGATTATTTCTTTAAATTTTTTATTTAGGAAACATCCTGTAATATAGCTACTATAATTTCTTATTATTTTAATTTTTAATTACAATAAATTGATTTTTAGAGATGGGAAACTTGCGTTGCTGCTAATATTAAAGTAAAACTACCACAGGATCTTTGTGAACACTTCAGTATTTTTAAGGAGATGCTGGATTATCCACGTTTCTGGAATGAATGGCTTACTGAAAGTCAACGAGAAACATTATATAATCTTTTACCTACTTTTCCAAAAGACTCCAATATAGAAGCACAAATGGAGAAATCGCTACAAATGTTGTTCAATAGAGAAAACGATAGGTAGTAATTATTAAAGATTTTTTTGCAAAATGAGAATAATTGGGTTCTAAAATGGATTTAATTAAAGCATTCGATAAAATGTAGATTTGGTGTAACGGCATTGGACACGTTTCACAATCATCTTTCCTCTGGTCACTATCGTCCGGACATTAAAAGAATACGCGGTTTAGTTCGTAAAGCGCAAAAAAGAAGATCGTTGTTCGAAGAACGGAAACGGTCATACGAATTAGCAAATCAGTTGCTAAAATCGCGGGAAAGTTTATTATCAAACGCATACAGACAAGGTTTCAATCAACCGGTAAACCGTACAATGTCTAAACTTCATTGGCGAAAGTCGAAACCAATAATGGGTGAGTGTTTGCTTTATATCTAATATTTTTTGGCTGTTCATATTTCTCTCCGTATTTCGGCCATTTGGCAGAGAAATATAATAATTGGAAGTCTAACATAAAAATAAATAATAGTTGAAGAAAAGACTCAGTTGCGCTATTTGGAGGAGCTAAACGCAGTCCGGGCAGAACTTAGAACCAGCACGAGACTGTCCGCTGATACAACATCTGAAAATGAGGAGAATTATCCTCATTATCAAATGACTGGTGCTAAACAAAAGAGAAAACGGCGTTTTACTATGAATCTCCAAGGATTGTCAGTTAAAGGCCTACAGCTCAGCCATGAGGACGATACAATTCGACCTGTATTTTCTACCTTGCAGCGAATGGAGTATGCTTCTAATAGATCATTGTTTGTACGTGAACAAACGGAAGAAACATACCGTGCTATGTTAATCGCACATAAAAAACGTCGTGCCCGTCGTGATGTATGTATAATGCATCATTATTTTATCACAGTTACTTTTATTTAAGCAATACTAACTAAAATGTATATGTGTAGCTTCATCCGGAACTGAACACACAAGGAATTGCGCTTGCAGACCTCACACAAAGATCACAAATTGGTCAGAAGCAGAAACTCACAATTGGCAATTCTACGAAGGTTACATCTGCTAAGAAGAAAATCAAATTGGAACAAAATTCGTTATGTCCACCCGCACCAAAACTGCCAAATTCCAATTCTATAAAGCACGAAAGCGATAACAGCGATTACTCCCATACAACGGACGACAATAAACAACCTAACATCGCGGACGTAGATTATAATAGAATGACAACACCTATTAAATCAGAACCTATTGAGGCGTATGAAGTACATCCAGTAGCCAAAAAGAAAATGTAATTATGATTAGTTGTACACGTATTAGATCAATTTAATATGATTATAATACTTGATGTGTTTCTTTCGTGTTTCTCATTTGCAGCAGTCCAGTAACTCAGAAGAGTAGCAAACCAGCAATAACCAATATACCAGAGATAAAAAAAGAAATTGAAGATACAGAGTTTGACAAAGTTAAAACCGAATTAAGTTTGGGTGTGAGCGAGGATGTGCTGGCTGAAACTGAAGAAGAAGAGGAAAATGAATCGAAGAAAGAACTTGATTTAGACAGTATTGATATGATGCAGTTACCAATTCAACTGGATGATGGAATTGATATACTTGACGATGTTAAGTAAGTGTACTTATGTACAAGGTAATTACAATCAATTAAGTCAATAATCAAAATATTTAAATTTGCGAATTGGCGTTACAGATGCGAAGATGAGGGAATTATATCAATACCAGAGACAAAAATGACTGTACCGTCCAATGAATGTATAGATGTTAACAACGGGGCGGAATTGATGCAAGAGACGCATACATGTTTTTTCTCTCTGTTACGAGACGCTTTCACTTCTAAGGGAGAGTACCGAATGAGTGCGGCAGAAATGAAAGAAGCAATAACGCAATGGCAAAGCAATCCTATTTCACCTTTGAATGATTGGTAATATCGAATAAGACTTCGCTGCAATATGCGCGATCGTAACATTTCCTGACAAATTATATGGTTGATGGTGTCGCAGGTATTCTTTGGTACCTTCATGGTCTACTTTAGTACCATTAGCACTAGGGTTTCTTGCGGGCGAATTGATGTATTCTCAAGATTTGGATCAACGGCAAGAACGAGATCAGGAACTCGTACCCTATCTGGAAAATAAGGGTCGAGGCGTATACGCATGGATCGGTGCTGGGAGAGATTCTGATACCCGATTACAAGACTTGTGTACAAAATTCCTTATGTACAAGTAAGAATTGTGGCAAGCACTGATTTTTTAAATCTTTGCTATAAGTTCTATTATAATGGAATTCAATGCTTTTTTTTTATTCAGTCAATGATTTTTCTTGCTCATTTGCTTATTTATTTGAATGTTTTCCTAAATTCTCTTGATCATTTTTTGCGACAAGCTAAAACAGCGTTATAAAAAAATGTTATTTAATAAATAATATATTTTTATTTAACAAATAACTATATACTTTTATAGAGACGTGTTGACACCACCATACACTCCAACTACTAGTACTGTAACAGCTACAAAATCGCAGCAGTCTCAATTCTCTTCGAATAATAACAGCATGAGCAATAATGCGATTGTTACAAGCGGAATCTTGCAAAGTGGTAGAAGCGGAAGTCCCACACTGGAAACTACTAACATGGATGCTAGTGCCAGTGGAACAGACTGGGAACCACCTCGACCACTATTTCCTACAGAGTGGAAAGTTCGACCGTCCACAATAGAGGAACGCGAAGAATTTCGAAGACAGGAGCGTATGCGTTATGCTGCACCTCATAAAGCATTTACTTATCGCATGCACGGTTATGCCTCCGTAGTCGGCCCTGTCAAAGGAATTTATCAGCATAACGTTGGTATGTTCAACTTGTGCTTTGTAAAAAAATGCTGAATTTAAATTTCTAAAAGCTTATTATGAATCACGTTATGACAAATATTAGCACACATAAACATATGTGATACAGGCAATCGCCAGCCGCATACTGATTGTGTACAAGAATATAATACAGTATAATGTAAAGTATAATATATAAAGTACAAATATAAATTCAATGCAATAAAATAATACAACACAATACAGTACAATATAAATGTACAAAAAATTTATTTACAATTTTATTTACAATTAAATTGAAATTAAAACATTTTGACTTACATTATACATTATGTTATTGTAAAAATTTTTACACATAGTAACAACTAATAATAACATTTTATTCTTTAATTAAGAAAAAATATTTTTATAATTAAAAATTTTTGTAATTTAAACAAATCTATAATTAAAAAATACTTTTATTTGCTTAAGGCGATTTTTATAAATTGTGTTTAAATTCTTTTGGTAGAAAAACTAAATATCTTATATTTTATATAAACAGTTTTTTAAATTATTAGTTTATTATTACAGAGAAATATGAGATTAATTATATTATTTGTGTTAAGCTTCAGGACAAGCTAAAGCACGAGGACATTCGTTGCTGGTACCGGATCGTCCAAATTTTGTAACAATTTTAGCGTTAGTTAGGGATGCTACCGCTCGACTTCCGAATGGTGAAGGAACTCGAGCTGATATTTGTCAATTACTGAAGGATTCGCAGTATATTATAGAACAAGATAATGATGAAAAGGAAGGATATCTCCATTCTGTGGTATCAGGAGCGCTTGATAGATTACATTACGAGACAGATCCTTGTGTTAGATATTATCCTCGTCGAAAGGAATGGCTTTATCTTCACCGAGGACGATCTGAATCTGAATTTGGTTTGTTCTCTTTATTTATTTATTTCAATTATTTTATACGTTGTTTATTGTAACAGGAATATTTCCGAAGCACTTGTAATTCTAATTTGCTCATGTGATTATGTAAAGTTATTTTTTTATTTTTTGTAGAAATGGTTCATCAACAATTACAAGGCATTGCGAAAAATAAGAAAAGTGTTGGTAATACTTCACGAAACAAAGTAGTGCAGCCAATCCTCAAATCTGCCAATATAAATAAGGAACAATCATCGAATACTAAGGAAGTTGTTCTCAAAAAAGAAAGACGAATTACAGCTGTAACTACGCAACCTGTTATTCCCAAGTAAGTATTTTTTATTTATTTGAAAACTAACAGTTTTGAGAAAAAACTATTTGAGAAAAAAATAAATGTCTGTACTTATTGTTATTCTCACAGGAAAGAACAACGTAAAACCGAAGATAAAATTGTCCCTGACCATCCTATACCTACTGAACATTCCGTTAATGCTAATGTAGAGATGGCAGTTAGTACAATAACATCAGCGATTTCTACCGTTGAAACTCCTGTTTCTGTTGCATCCATTGTAACTTCTTCGGCTACAGCCACAAATGTAGTAAGTACAGAACGAGATAACATTGCGATGGACACAAAATCGCAACTCGCTCCAATCACGATGGTAAAAAAGGCATCTACTGTTGGAGGAAAACCAATCGCTGTACTCAAAACAAATGCCGCTCAAAGTCTATTGCAGTCGAATCAACATAATTTTCCGCATCACCAAATTCAAGTATCAACATCTGCTGGCCTGCAAACCATTCGTCTGTCTGGACATTCCGTGTTGCAATCTGCACAACAATCTGCTTCAACTAGTAATAGTTCTAACGTAGTCAATGGAACTACAAATTTAACGACGATACTGCCATCTGCAAAAACGCAAAATCAGCAACAACAGCAATCAGCTATAATGACAAATCAAACGGGGAAAAGTATTTTACAAACCACTAATATAAAGCAACAATCGCAACAGCAACAACAACAGCAACATGTATTACCGGGAAAAACTCTCTTGGCATCACAGATTAAATTAGTCAGTTCGAGTCAAATTAAATCGTTACTCACGAGCCACGGTCTTCAGGGTCAAACTATATTTATCAAACAATCCTCACCATCGAATAATCAGTCGCAACAGCAACAATTACAGCAACAACAACAGCAACAACAACAGCAACTAAAGGTATCTTTGTAAACAAATCTTACTTTTATTATGTTTATTTATTTTGGTTTAAATTTTATCCTGATCTCAGCAACAACAGCTCCAACAACGAGTTACAACTAACCAACAGCAACCTGTACAGCAAACTCCGGGAATGCAACGGATAATTGCACAAATCGGAGGGAAACCAATTGCTGTGCAAATACAACAATCGCCTCACCATCACCAACAGCAGCAACAACAAAAGATACTTGCGAAAGTTTTAACAAATAGTAGCGGGGGACAGATTATCTCTGTTGAAAGTTTGCTAGCACAGAAAGGATTGAAATTGGCTACTACTGGTGGTCACACTAATCAGCTTAACAGACAAGGCAAGCAGGTCATACAGGCTCAATACCAAGTAAGTGTACTTTACATATAATAAATTTATTTATATTTATTAACGAAAGTGAAATCCTTTGATAATAATAGAATGTATAAGAGTATTAGAAATACAATATTAACGAAATATTAAATATTACTATTAATTAAATAGTAACATTTATAATAATATAAAATAATTATAAAAGATAAAGAAACATACAATTAGATTTACATATATATAGTAAAATAAAATTTCAACCATCCTTTTAGTCTTTGAACAAAATCGCTATCAATGTACAGTACCAAGTTACATGTAATAAATTTATTTATATTTATCGACAAAAGTGAAATCTTTGATAACAATAGAATTATAAGAGTATTGGAAATGCAATACTAACGAAATATTAAATATTACTATTAATAAAATAGTAATATTTATAACAATATAAATAATTATAAAAGATGAGAAACACACAATTAAATTTACATATATATAAAATTTTAACCACTTTTTTAGTCTTTAAACAAAATCGCTATCAACGTATAAAACATACATTTGTATGTAAAAAAAGCAATTATATTTGAAAATTTCTTTCTATTTCTAAAAACATTAAGATAAAAGTTTTATTAATAATAATTATAATATTTTGTTGATTGAATTAGAATAAGATATATATAGATATATATATAGATAGAATAGTGATAAATTTTCCTTTTTTAATAACTTTTTTAATAACTTTTACGAATATTTGTAGGTAGTGCCGCAAGCACAAGCGTCTTCTAGTCAGTCAAAGATAATAGCAGTCAGCACACAACACCAACAATCTCAGCCGCAACAGGCTCAGACTGTCCGAATGGTTACCGCTCAACTTGCGGGAAAACCTATCGTATTAGCAAGCAGTAACAAAAATGTTGGGGTTGCAGTGAGCACCAGTGGCGGAAATGTAGTATTAGGCAAACAGCCAACCTCTCAGCAACAACAGCAACAACAAACACAGCAACCGATTATCTTGCCGAGTCAGCTGCTTAATATCAAAACATTGCACGGGCTCAAAGTGATTCCCACACCGACTGGATTAAAAACTGCAGGTGGTGCCGTGTATGCTCGAGTTATTGCCCCTACAACAATCGCGTCCACGCAGGCTACGTCGAATCAACAGCAGACTCTTCAAACACAATCACCAAGAAATCCTTCATACGGCACACCTTGACAAAATTGATATTGTTTACATATATTTATACTTAATTTGCTTGGCACTATTTCTTTGATTGTTTATATGTTACACACATTAGTGATAAGTGATATCTCATTATGCGTACATACGTGCGTGCATATGTATATAAAATAACTTTCATTTTCTTGATCTGTATATATGTGTGCCTACATATATACAATTATGTGTGTAAATTTGTATATATATACTTATATGCAAATATACATATCAAGAAAGTGAGTTTTATATTAAGAAAAATCATATATGATTGCACTTAAATTCAACAATAATGTGTAACATCTCTATAAGATCAAAAGCATATAAAAAGTATGTGCAATGAAAATACATGCAAGTTAAAATTAATACTCGCAGTTACTACTAAACCTGAATTCCATTATACTTATAAATTTGGTCTAAACTTAGGTAACAACACAATAGCCATACCATCATGTACGCCCAAATAATTTTTTCAGATATTTGTTTAACGTGACATAATGATCTCGAAAATACTTCTGATATAATTATATCATATGGCTGACGAAGAACATATATGCCGTATTTTTAAAAACCATGAAATAAATCGAATAATTTAAATTTGTTTATATCTATATAAACTCTGCACGAAGAAAAAAATAACTTGGTACTATTTTATCATATATCCAGAAATGTATTGTGAAATGTAAAATTAACTTATAAATAAACTTGAATCTAATATAATATTAAATTTTTAATTTGTAAATATTTTCTATCCAAAAAAATATTGAAAAATAGTCAGTGATCATATCAAAATAAATCATAATTCTACATATTAACTTGTGGGAATATTAATTATAATTTTGAGGGACAACCTGAAGATATAAATCGATTTCGATGAAATTTTACCCAGCGCATATTAATTAATGTCTGTAGCTAACTTTTGGGGGGTATTACTGATCGATTTCCAAAAATTTATATTTTCGGCCCATTCTAATAATTAGTAGAGGGTGTTAAAAAAAAATCGGGACGGCGAATTATCTCGGAAAGAAAAACGTTTAAAATTGATTAAAAAATCAAAAAAATTATTTTATTGAAAAATAAAGTATTTTGACATTAATAAAAAACAATAAAAAAATATGATTTTAAGTACCCGGGAAAAAGTTCCACATATAATTATATATAATCATATGCAAAATATGTCCATATATGTTTCTTTCCTTTGTAAAATTATTCTTTAATACAAAATTGATAATTGTTGGATCTCAACAATAATAATAAGAAAGAAACATAAAAAATAATTAAACGAATAATTTTTACATTGTTTTTTTTACAAAAAATAAAGTTTGAAGAAATAAGAAAAATTGCTCATATATGTATAATCATATACAAGTTATTAAAATAAAAAAAAAATATATATATATATATATACAAGGTGTCTCATAATATGTGTATCACCGTTCATGGATAGGTAGAACGGACTAAACTGAATTGAAAAGTCCTCTACCATTTTGCAAAATTCGCAATTGTTAACAAGATATTAATTTTTGAAGATCGGCAAATAAACTTAATAT